ATATTCTAAATGCTATAATTTGTTCAGATTTTATATTAACTCATTTTTTACTTTTTTTTTAGTAGTTTTGTCTCTTTCTACTGTAAAGCATCCATATTTTTTAAAAAATTTGGTAATTATAAATTACTAGAATTACAAGTTACATATTTATATAAAAATAGGAAATTACCAAGCCATATACAATGGGTTACAAAAAGTAACCGACCACCTAAAAATTAAATAAAATTAAATATTCTCATTAATAATTTTATTTTTATTTTAAAATTAAAAGTGTAAAAACTTATTTTAAACCATTTTCTTACTTGATTAATGTTAAAATTGTATATAAATACTTAATTTTCAGAGTAGAAAAAATTTTAACATTTTAACCAAATCAGATAGAGTAAAATAGGTATAGAAAATTGATTTCTTGACTAAAAATTAGCTTATTTTCAAAAATTCAGAAAGATTCAATCAGTAGTTGTTAAGAAATCCACTTTTAAAAATCAGCAAAATTGATGATCTACATATAAAATTATAAGAATTTCACCAAAATTCATTGATTTTAAAAGTAGTTTTCTCAACAACTACTGATCGAATCTTTCTGATATTTTGAAAATAGACAAATTTTAAGTCAAAGAATCGATTTCTGGTATTTATATTACTATAGCTGTTCTGATTAAAAAGTTGAAATTTTTTTTACTTTGAAAATTGAATATTTATACACAATTTTATTATTAATTACGTGAAAAAAATGTTCATAAAATGGATTTTACATTTCTAATTTTAATATAAATATAAAATTATTAATGAATTTATTTAATTTTTAGGTGATCGGTCACTTTTTGTAACCAACTGTATATTTATATATAATATTTGGAATTCTATTAAAATGAAAAGTTTTATTGCTATTATCCCTTAAATGGTAAGACACTGCAGGCAAATTTGCCTGCAATTTTACTGAAAATTTAGTTCTCATCCAATTTTATGAAAAATGAAGTTATTTAATAAAATTTTTTTTTGCAAAGAGCTTAAATCTTAATTTATGTGACAAAAATTATTATTTGTTAATTTCATATTATAAAATTGAAGATTAACTATTGGTCAAAAGTTGTATTTTTTAGATAACAAAAAATTTTGAAAAATTTTGCATTCAACTTTGATGATCTTATTGGAATTTGATTATGGCTATACCAAAGCTTAATAGAATATGTAGAATTTGCTATGGGGAACAACTTTTATTAATATGATTTTTAATGTTTAGAACTGGAAATTTGACTTTACATAGAACCCTAAAAAAAAAATTATTTTTGTGAACTTGTAAAAAAATGCATAAAGTTAAATTTTATCATTTCTATTTTGTTCATTAGGGTTTAAAGTTTCATAATAAAAATAAATAAGTATATTAAAATGCTTTGTAATGAAGCAGAATATTATGGTAAAGAAAATTAATTTATTATATAAAATTTCTGATGTTATTTTTTCAAAGTTAATTTGTGCTTAATTTTGGTGATATATGGCATATAGATGCCTATATAGTGATGATAGAAGATCTAAAATCATGTGGATCTATTTTACATCTTTGAATTTTTTACATAATTTACTTTGGTTTCAATTTTTAGATTTTTCATTTAATTCTGATCTGATTATATCTAATTTTAGGATTAGCCACATATCGAATCATACAATTGATGCTAAGAATGTAGATCAATATAACTGTGGAATTATAAGATAATCCAAATCATAATGACAAAGTTTGTATTTGGTTATAATTTATTTTAAAAAATTACAGGCAAATTTGCCTGCATTACCGTTTAAAGGATAATTCATTATATTAATTCAAATTGAAAATTATATTAGTTTAATTTATATTAGATATTTTTAATATTAGTGACTCTTATTAAGAAATTTTACTTTGTATATATTTTCTTTATTTTTTACTTTAATAAAACTGCAAATGTGCTGCAAAAAAAAAAAAAAAAAATATTAGTAACTCTTATATTAGATCTTTTATTTTTAAAACTATTTTAAATTATTATTTAATATATATTTAAAAAATAAAGTAATTACTAAAATTACTATAGATAATAGTTTCAATATGATTTCTGATTATAAAAAATTAGTACAATATTACAACTCAAGTGATTTAATAATAGAATTAATATACTATAAATATATAGTATATATTTTAAATTTAATAATTAATGAAGAATTATTACTTTTACAGTTAAGTATTAAAAACTGTGAAAATTAATAGTTAAAGGATTAGTATTATTAATTAATAAATTAAAAAGTATATTTAAATTTATTTCTAAAATATTTTTTTATTTACAATTAAATATTAAAACTTATACTTTTAAAATGATTAATTATATAATTAAAATTAAATTTAAAATACTAAAACTTTAATATATAAGTTTAAATTTATATTGGCCTATAAAATCAAAATGGAATAAATTACATAATATTATAGAATTATTATTTTGAATTTGAAATTATACTTTTCGTCAAAATGACAAAATACTAATTAAATTTATTTTGACAAACGTAATGTATTTTGACAGACGTAATTAATTCATAGTAATTTTATAATAAATAGTGAATTGGTCCATTCGCCGAAATACAATATAATTAATTAGCGGAGAAGTATATTTGAAATAGCTATTATTGAATTAAATAATTAAATCAAATATAGCATATATTTATATTATATTTCTTTTATTACTTTATATTTAAATGCACAAAATGGTTTTAAATATTTATTTATTTATTTATTTATTAAATGTTGAATCATGTATTATTTTATTAGAATATATTTGGATTATATAATAATCACAACTATTCTGTAAATGATACTCCCAGCACCTAGCCAGTCTGATCAAATATTAACTATTATATCACAAATAAATTAAGAATAAAATTAAATAGTAAAGGTAAAAATTATTAACCCAAAATACTATACTATAACCCAAAATTAAACTAAGAAGAAAAATAAAAGAAAAATAAAAGTAAAGTAAAATAAAAATTTTTTTTTTTTTTTTTTTTTTTAAAAAAAAAATTTTACTCCAGTAATTTTTTGCTTATGTATAATGTAATCTTATCAAACTTCTTCTTTATTGGGATTTAATCCTCACATATGTATTTCTTTATAAAGGTATCCATTGATTTCTTTACTATAGGAATTGACTTTTGTACTTGATCTGCTTTTTTTGTTTGTATATTTTTTGCTTTATCTGAAGGTTGATTTGAGTTGTCTTTTATTTTGGGTTCTGAAGTAATTTTATCTGTTTGAGTAATGCCTTTTTTTTTTCCCATAAAATAACTTGTTCACATTTTGGTTTCCATAATAATTCTTTAAATGTTAAAATGAACCGTATTAAAATATTGGCCATAAGTATCTGTACCTCATTAAAAGTTATTTTAAAATCTTTTTGTAATTTTGTTGTTAAATAAGTTTCAACTTTTTTAAATATTTATTAAATAATATGATAAAACAAATAAAACTTAAATTGGAGAATTATTGGAATATAATAGATAATAATTCCAAAGTATTTGCATTTTTTGATTTATATTATAAAAATCTTTGTAAAGTAAAGTGTAAAAGTAAATAATACAGTCAACTCTCTATAAATGCATTCCCCTTGGGACCAGGTATAAGAGTGCATTTAAAGAGGGTGTGCATTTATAGAATACATATAAATCTATATAATATTAATCTAAAATTAAGGTAATACAAAAATTTTATAAGTAAACTATATAAAATTTTTTTTATAAAGGGTGCATTTACAGAATACATATATATAAAAACTGTGCATTTAGCATCAAGGTCCAAGTTGGGACTAGATAAAAGGTGCATTTATAGAGGGTGTGCATTTATAGAGGGTGTATTTATAGAGAGTTGACTGTAATACTATATTTTCAGAAATTATTAAATTAGTAGTAGAATTAAATTTGTTATTTAATTCACTTTCAATGAAAGTTAATTCAATATTAAATTTTATTTAACAAAAACTTCTATTATTATCTTATTTTAGCACTAGTACAAATACAATTTTATAGTCAAATGTCTTATTTATTAATTAGATTTAATAGTAATCAAAATACTTCAATTCAACAAAAAGATGAAATTAGGAATCTTGCATATACTTCACTTGATATTGCACTATTAGAATGGTGAAAAGCACATGAAACAGAATATTTTCTATTATCAAAAGTTGCTTAAAATCATTTAAATATTATGGCAACTTCTGTGTTGTGTAAACAATTATTTTCTATAGCAAGCCCTACAATTAAAAAGTTAAGAAATAGATTAACTGGAAATAATACAAGAGTAATTCTGTTTAAAAAGTTGGTTAGAAGAAAAAATAATTTGATATTGCAGTTATACTTCTCTGCTAATTAATTACGTCATATTTCAGCGAATGGACCAATTCACTATTTATTATAAAATTACTATAAATTAATTACGTCTGTTAAAATACATTACGTTTGTCAAAATAAATTTAATTAGTATTTTGTCATTTTGACGAAAAGTATAATTGCAGTATCATCATATATATATTTGAATTAAAGATATTTAATAATAAATTGAAAACCACTACTAGTAAATATACATTTAATAATTTAGTAATTATGAATTCAATAGTATAACTAAAACGTTAAGTATAGTATAACTTTTTATAAATAAAGGAAGTATTGATATAAATAATTTATAAGTTCAGTAGAATTGTGGTTCAGTTCAGTTTGGTTCAGTTCAGGGTATGAGGGAAGTCAGTGAACCATCTGACTATCGCAATTTACCCCAGTATCGCCCTAAGATTTCTAAGTAAAATTCCACTTCACGTGACCAGTGATGTTTAAGGGGGCGTGAAAAAAGTTTTTTCAACTTTTCGTCCCAGAATACTTATGAAAAAATGAAAACGGTGAGGTGTGACACGGGGTGACATTTTTATGCAGGTCACGTGGGGATGAAAAATCTTGGGGCGAAGATACTATCGCAAATATGATCACGTATTCTTGATTTTTAATCGTAGAAATCACATGCACGGGACAATTACGTGTACCGCAGTTATTTCCGTACTCCGTAATATTATAAATAAGAACTTCACTCTGAATTTTTCAAACTTTAAATTCTGGAAAAATGGAACGATTTACAACTCAAAACACTCAGGACGATGAAAATTTTTCTTTTTTGGAATACTCTGGAGGAGATACTCAAGCTTCGCAATATGATTATAACGACTTTTCACTTGAATCTCAGCAAACTAACACTTTGCTTGACGGTTCGCAATCGCATTTCGTTGAGCCAGATTTATCTGGAGTGGGAGTTGACGAGTTAGACGCGTTCCAAGATCTTGCCATTGTTGAAAGAGAATTAGAACACGCATGCAGGTATATGATCAGTCTTGGTAATTTCGATCAAATCGTGTTATAATAACTATTATTTTATTAGATATTGTGGTATACACGCAGTAAACTCAGTAGCCAGATGCGTGACTTGCAACAAATGGTTTTGTAATTCTCGTGGTAACACTTCTGGCTCCCATATAATCAATCACCTTGTTCGGGCAAAACATAGAGAAGTCGCTTTACACCCGGATTCACCACTTGGTGAAACAACGTTGGAATGCTATAGTTGTGGTTGTAAGAACGTTTTTTTATTGGGATTTATTCCAGCGAAAAGCGATACAGTTGTAGTATTGCTTTGTCGGTGAGTAGGAAGAATTAAAGTTAATGAATTCCTTTAAGTTTCGATATTGATGTTAAGACATACTTTCAAAATAGACAACCCTGTGCCGCAATGCCTAGTAGTAAAGACATGAACTGGGATACCTCTCAGTGGCTTCCTCTTATTGATGATCGTTGCTTTCTTCCATGGCTTGTTAAAGTTCCCAGTGAACAAGAACAACTTCGGGCTCGTCAAATCACCGCACATCAAATTAACAAGCTCGAGGAGTTGTGGAAAGATAACACCGAAGCGACTCTTGAGGATTTGGAAAAACCTGGGATTGATGATGAACCACAACCTGTATTATTGAGGTATATGTTTGTGGGAATTTTAAATATGTTGTTCTGTTTTTCCATATTTTAACTAATCAAATTCTTAAGATACGACGATGCCTATCAATATCAAAACATTTTTGGACCTTTAGTAAAAATGGAGGCTGACTATGACAAAAAATTAAAGGAATCTCAGACGCAAGATGATATTGTAGTTCGGTGGGATATTGGGTTAAATCAAAAGCGTATTGCTTGGTTTTACTTACCAAAACTTGAATCTGGAGGTACTATATCGAACCAAATAATTTGATCAAATGGAATATTTTATTTATCTATATAAATTATTTCTTTTCCTTTAGAGGTTCGTTTGGCCATCGGTGATGAATTGAGACTTCGTTATCGTGGTGAATTGCGTCAATCATGGGAGGACGTTGGCCATGTGATCAAAATACCAAATAGTAGGTTAATTTAACAAATTATTAGTTGCTTTACTATCTTATTATTAAACATATTTTATTTATTATTTTGTATAGATGTTAGTGATGAAGTTGGTTTAGAGTTGCGCCGTAATGACAATACTCCAGTGGATTGTACACATAATTTTTCGGTAGATTTCGTATGGAAATCTACTAGTTTTGATAGAATGCAAGCAGCAATGAAAACATTTGCTGTTGACGAGACTTCAGTTAGTGGCTTTATCTATCACAAGCTTTTGGGACATGAAGTAGAACCTCAAGTTCTTAGAACAGTAATGCCAAAGAGGTTCATAATTTTTTTACTATTATATTATGTTCTTTTTATAAATTATTTTGGTCGGTTTGTTAATATTATATATTATCTGTAAATTATTTAGGTTTTCGGCTCCAAATTTGCCGGAATTAAATCATTCGCAAGTATATGCCGTAAAAAGTGTTTTACAAAAAAATCTCAGTCTCATTCAAGGTCCCCCGGGTACTGGCAAAACTGTTACTTCAGCTACCATCGTTTATCATCTTGCCAAGATAAATTCCGGGCAAGTTTTAGTATGTGCACCTTCAAATGTTGCCGTGGACCAGTTAACTGAGAAAATACATGCAACTGGGCTTAAAGTAGTTCGTCTTACTGCAAAATCTCGTGAGGCTCTTGATTCTCCCGTATCATTCCTTACATTACACGAACAGGTGTATAACAATGATACTCATGTTGAATTGCAAAAATTGATTCAACTCAAGACCGAACAAGGAGAATTAAGCAGTTCTGATGAGAAAAAATACAAAACGTTGAAGCGTGCTTGTGAAAGAGAAATTTTACAGGCATGAATTAAAATTTAACAACAGTTTATTTTAATGTTTTTGTTTAATTACGCGATTACTTGAATAATTGCTTATTAATATCCTAATTTAACTTAGACTGCTGATGTTATTCTTTGTACATGCGTGGGCGCCGGAGATCCACGTTTATCCAAATTTAAATTTCGCACCGTCTTAATTGACGAAGCGACACAGGCAACTGAACCTGAATGTATGATACCACTTGTGCTTGGATGTAAACAAGCTGTCCTTGTTGGGGACCATCAACAACTTGGCCCTGTAATAATGAATAAGAAAGCTGCCAGGGCTGGCTTATGTCAGTCACTTTTTGAGCGCTTAGTCATATTGGGTATAAGACCTATTAGATTACAAGTTCAATATCGTATGCACCCTTGTTTATCGGAATTTCCTAGCAATATGTTCTACGAAGGTTCTTTGCAAAATGGGGTCACTACTCAAGATAGATTAAAGAAAAACGTGGACTTTCCTTGGCCAGCTCCAGAGACACCTATGTTTTTCCACTCAAATTTAGGTCAAGAAGAAATTTCAAGCAGTGGAACCTCTTATTTGAATCGGTAAGAATAATTAATGATTTTCAACACCGTTTGGTTAAATTGATTTTTACTTATTTATCCGACAAAATTTTTATATTTATTAAGTACGGAAGCTTCAAACTGTGAAAAAGTTGTCACGAAGTTTCTAAAATCAGGAATTTTACCATCTCAAATAGGAATAATTACTCCATATGAAGGTCAAAGAAGTTATGTCGTTAGTTATATGCAGTTTAATGGTCCTTTAAAAAAAGATTTATATAAAGAAATTGAAGTAGCAAGTGTTGATGCCTTTCAAGGGCGTGAAAAAGATTATATAATATTGAGTTGTGTTCGAAGTAATGAACACCAGGGGATTGGATTTTTAAATGATCCTAGAAGACTGAATGTTGCCTTGACACGAGCGCGTTATGGTGTCGTAATTTTGGGTAATCCTAGAGTTCTAAGCAGGGTATGAGATTATATTTCTGTTTAAATTCTTTTTTTTCTTGTATTAAATATCTAAATATTTAAATCTTTGAATTTAAGCATCCTTTGTGGCACCATCTTCTTGTACATTATAAAGATAAAGATTGTTTAGTAGAAGGTCCGCTAAATAACTTAAAAGTCAGTATGATAGCATTTCGAGGGCCTCGTAGAGCTTATCGGAAGGATGATAAATTTAGACAAGGTTTTGCACACCAAATCGATGCACGCGAAGCATTTGCTAAAGCTCCTCTTGCTGAAAGTATGTATTACACTTAATTTTTATATCTTTATACAATTAAAATGTTCATTAAATCTTTATTGTTAGGTCGCCGTCGTGCTTATGACTCAGATTTTATGAGAACACATGATCCTGTCAGTTACATCCCTTCAGATATGACTTCCATGCCATCTTCGTCTCAGTTCAGCATTCCCCTACTTCCAACACCTAATGGTCCATTTACTCAAGATTTATCACAAAGTAGTGTTTCTAGCAGAAAAAATGCCAAACAACAAATTTCTTCTTATACCAATTCAATCTCATCCCAAGGACCATTAACACAAAACGCTTATAGTAGCCAAGGATCTATGAGTCTTGCACTATCTCAATCTGATCGTCTTCGTATGATGGAGAACTCAAACAATTCTTTAGGTCATGGCTCACTAATGTCACAGGATAGTTCAATTGGATATTTAGACGATTACAAAAGTCAAGGAGATGACACTATTTTAAGTCAAGACTTCGAGATTAGGTCTCAATCAGGATATCAATCTCAAAGTTTTACACAATATTAATGTATATACTTCACCGGGCCGGATCTTACCATTTTGCTTGGTGAATCTGGGCAGTTAACGATTATTCTCAATCTTGCAGGCCAGATTCGAGCGGTTAACGGTTATTCTTAATCGGGCCGGTTCGGATTCATGATCTGCTACATTTAGAAAGTTTTTTTTGGCATCCAATTCCAAATCTAAGATAAGATTCAAATTGCCAATTTACGTGACAATTTTTTTCGTAAAGAAAAAATCAAAGCATGTTATGTCAAAAAGAATGATAAATTAGTTTTAGGATAAAATCACTAAGCAAAGTTACTTAAAATTCGTAATAAAGATGAAATCACATTTTTATCATTAATATAAACAATATATATAATCTTTTATTTCTAAAAAGATAACTAATCAAGTTAGTTTTTTTTTTGTGAAAAAGTTAGTCCGTAAGAATCACGTGACTTTTAGCGAACCTATATAAAGTTAACGCGACTGTAAATGATCATTTCTTAATTCTGACCCAAATTATAATTTTGGAATGGATGATATATTGTGATGCACCTACAATGTGAAATAATTCAATTTTTTTTCCCTACGAAAAAAAAAAAAAAAATGGCGGACTCAAATCATGTTCAAATTGAAAATTCTGAAATGACAAGCAAGGATTATTATTTTGATTCCTACGCTCATTTCGGCATACATGAAGAAATGTTAAAAGACGAAGTTCGAACGCTTTCTTATCGTTCGTCTATTTATCAAAACCGGCATCTATTTAAGGATAAAATTGTTCTTGATGTTGGTTGTGGAACTGGCATTTTGTCAATGTTTGCCGCCAAAGCTGGAGCAAAACATATTTATGGAGTAAGTTGCAGTTGTAGTAAGCGTAAGAAGCCGTTTTGCTAAATAAATAACACGTCAATTAAATAAACTAATTTAGTTTCTTTTTCCCCAACATATATTTTTTGTGCTAATTCTAGATTGATATGTCGAATATTATTGATCAAGCGCGCCAAATTATTGTTGATAATAATTTAGATGATAGTACGGATTAGTAACATCTTTATGCTCTTGTGTATCCCATTTCAATGAGCATTTTATTTAATCATTGTATGCCTTTTAGAGATTACCCTCATCAAAGGCAAAATGGAAGAAGTCGAACTTCCAGTTGAGAAAGTTGACATTATCATCTCAGAATGGATGGGATATTTTCTACTTTATGAATCTATGCTTGATACCGTGCTTGTTGCGCGCGATAAATACTTAGTGAGTAATCAGTAACCTTTATAAATTCGGCAGATGATAAATAGTGTATTTAAGTGTTTCTATATTTCTTGTTTAGAAACCGGGTGGTTTAATATTTCCAGATAAAGCAACAATTTACCTGTCGGCTATTGAAGACGGAGAATATAAAGAAGAAAAAATTGGATGTAAATAATTAAATAATTTGTGTTTAGCATTATGTATTTCAATTTATCAAGAATAAACTCAAATTTCGTTATATTCTACAGTTTGGGAAAACGTTTATGGATTTGATTTTAGTTCAATTAAGTCTGTTGCTCTAAGGGAGCCTTTGGTGGACGCTGTAGATGCTAAAGCTGTAGTCACAAGTCCGTATTCCATCAAGGTATTATACTTTTCATATATTTCAAAAAGATGTTTAAATATTTATAAATATTTTACCGATCCATTTTTCATTAATATTTTTTAGGAAATTGATATATACACTGTTAAAAAATCAGATTTATCGTTTAGTGCTCCTTTTAAATTAACTGCTACGAGAGATGATTATATTCACGCTTTTATCGCATGGTTTGATATTACCTTTTCAGCTTGTCATAAACCAATTAGATTTAGCACAGGTTTGTTTACTCCTTATACATGTTTAATTGTTATGTTTAATTGTTATGTTTATAATATTCTTATAATATCATCCGAAATTATTAGGCCCACATGCCAAATACACACATTGGAAACAAACTGTTTTCTATACCACTGATGCTATAACTATTAAATGTGGTGAATCTATTATGGGTACTTTATCTTGTTCTCCCAATAAACGAAATAATCGTGACTTAGATATTGAAATTTCCTACGAATTTCATGGTGAAACAGCACCTTGCTCTGAAGTGTGTAAATATAGGATGTAAGTATGGTGTGATACATTTTCTATTTTATAAATAAACTAAGTATGGATTGTAATCTGTTTTATACGTTTTGTCCCAGGAATTAGGTATTAGACCATTTGGACAATTATTTAATATTTAAGTTTATTAAATCGTTGGATGAACGTCACAAATCTTAATTGTTTTATATTGGTAAACATTTGTACAAAACAATTATGGTTGCCAATATAAAAGTTATTGTATTATAAGGAAAATTTTATGAATTCATAATTTCGGAACAATAACCATTAATAAAAGAGAATTATATTTTTTTATAATTGCTTTATTTTAAAACTTTTTTTTTCCTTGTCCATATCACCCTTTTAGTGATATACCAAAATATCAGTTATTTACATGATACTATATAAATTAATGTACCATCAATAAAAAATCTTAAATTACAATTTGATAACTTAAACAATGAATTTAAGTTTGTATAAAATTATTTGAATATTCATACAATAAAGAATATTGCATGATAAATTGTTCGTTTAGTTTTTAATTAAATTATTAGAAAAATTTAAATAATCCATTCGTTATTTAATATCCGAGGTATGTGAAATATTCAACGCGTCTATTTCTTTCATAATATTATCGGAAAAATCCATAGGAATAATTGTCGACTGTGCATTTTTATTTATGGTACTACATCTTTTCCTCTTATTTAATCCAGTTTCTTCGTCTGATGTTGACGGTTGTTGATCGTCCAAATCGAATGTCACTGAACGTTCCCTATCTTTTTGCTTACCAGACATACCATCAAATTCTGAAACGAATGCACCACCACTGCAGCTACTATTATCTTGATCTTCCATTCCACTAAAATCTCTACTATCAACATAAATATCAGTACTTTGTATACTTGGATACCGAAATGCTAATAATTGCATTTCATTATCCTTAGATCCAATTATTATTGAAGAAAATGGACCCCAACTTTTTTCTCTACGATGACCATCATGATGTTGATTATCTTTCTGAAAAGCATGAAAATTTCCCACTTTCCGTAATATTGATGAAATCGAATGCTCACGTGAATGATGACCCGATCTTCCTCCAGGAGGCACTAAAGAAATTCCACTATCTCGATACTCAGGGGATGTTTTACAAACATCATTTTCACACTTTTCATTATTGGGTGAAGGCGGCGAAGAGTTATTTGAAAATGGTAAACTTGAAGATAAATCATTCCTTATTTCAGAATTCAAATGAGTATTCGTGTTTGAAGTTAATAAAGGAGGCAAAAGAGGAGAATTTTGAACGGAACTATAAGCATTATTATTAAGAGATGAAGAAAGACTAGTTGGATGAATAGAAAGGGTATTCGTTGTGTCCACACTATTTGTTCTGTTATGAGTAGATTTAGATGAATGTGGGATAAAAATACTTTTAAAAGGTGCCTTTGGACGTGAAGAAGAATTTCTTCTTGATCTTACAGTTGATTGAGAAGGTGATGGTGGTACTGATAGTTCTACGTTTAAAGAAGCTATCTCTCTGTCAAAATGTGGTGTTAAATTATTATCATCGTCATTAGACGACCTCTTTATTATCAACGTTAATTTATCCACTGTTTTTTTAAATAAATTTTTTATACGTTGTGATTTTCTTCCATTTTTTATTACGGAGTCTAAAAGTGAAGGAATTTCTTCAATGGATTTTGGTGAACTGATTTCAGGTTCATTTGAACAAATGACATCGTTTGTTGGGAATGAAGAAGTCACTTCATCATCAAAAGTAGGCGATGAAGTTTGTGGTGATTGTGGTACATGTATTACTTCAGGTATAACAGGTGGTGTATTTTCAGGTAAAGATGCATTGAATTTTTCTTTGGCTTCTTCCGCTTCTTTCTTCAATTGAGCTTCCAGAGCCACTAGTTGTTTTTGTAAATCAACATATATTAATACAAAATGCGCTTTCGTTTCTCGTGACGAAGGCACCTAATATAAAAAATAAAATAAAAAGAAACGTAAATAATCTGAAATTATACCTTAAATTTTTTGGATTAAAATTGGTTATTTTTTGATTTTTTAAAGAAAAATTATTGCTATCAAAGTAGTTGAAATTATCTACTATATTTAAAGTTTACCATACGTCGTTAATTAAAAAAAAAAAAAATGACGATAGAAATCTACACCGATTTTTAAACACTAATAATAATAATAAAAATAAATATAGATGTCAGATAATAGAAAATAATAATAACATACCATTCCAGTATGAAGTTTTAAATTTTCCTCCGTTAGGGGATAATTTTTACAAGTAGAATTATTTTTCCCATTTCTCGGTAAACGTGATAAAATATTATTATTTGTTGAAGTAATTAAAGGTTGTTCGGTCATAGCTTTATTTATTAATTAAAAAATGTATATTTTCAATCACAACTTTTATTCTTTTGAGTAAGAAGTTAAATGAACTGTGGTAGAACAGTTTTGTAACATAGTCAAATAGGTAAAAGAATTTTTTCTTTATTGCAGTCTCTGCAGACACTACTTTTGGTGAAGCAGTGATGATAAACGCGTCACAACCTTTATTATCTGATTTGGGCAAAAAAAAAAATCAATTGTTACCAAAAAGCGAAGAGGAAGGGGAGGTTGTAACAGGATTTTTAGTTGTGGTAACGCTTACGGTTATTTCCGAATAAATCGCTTCGTTTCAAGGTATTTTTTGACTGACATCGAAGAATATTTGAAAGTGTGGGGCGATTTGTTATCATTACACAAAGGATAGCAACGATATAACACGATGATCACCAAGTTGTACTATCTCAAAAGGATTACACGGTACCAGAATTTATAGCAAAAATTAAATTCCATTTCCTCACAAGGAAACAGATCAAACTAAAATCACGCAATTAAAGAGGCGTTCGCCTAAATATAAAATCAGTCTAATTCTCTCCCAATTCAAACAAATAACGATTTTGTTAAAAAGAAAATTTTCTGCTAAAAAGAATTTTTAACTTATAACGATAGTTACATTAACAAATTATATATCTGTCGTGTAACTGTTTACAACAATGTATGAATGAAAAAGCATTGCCCAAAAATTTATCGTAATTTAAATAATTTTAAATGTTAACATAATTTAAATGCCAGTGAATAAACTTTAATGATAATTAAATATATTGGTTATATATATTATTATTAATTTTTTTACTATCGTTATTTTATATTGTCTGTATTTATATCGTTTTATTTCGATGTTCCATTATCCCATTTTCGTTCACGAGATTTAGCAAATTCCATTTCTTTCCTCTTTTGTTCTTCTCTTTCTCGTTCATAAGTAACTGATAGTTCGTTGATTTCCGCAATTTCTTGTGATGTTGGAAACCCAACTTTCCAAAATCCTGGTGGAGTTTGCGGTCGACTATATTTAGCACGGTGTCTTCCAATCTTTTGCACTAAGGTTTCCGAAGACTGGTTATGATCACATTGTCGCGATAAACTAATGCCTGTCATTTCATAGTACTAGAAATTGAAAAAAAAGTTAGTATAAAAATGAACTATTTATTTATTTATTTATTTATTTGATCAAATATAGAAGAATTATTACTTTACGACAATCAGGACAGTCTTGTGCCATTAATTGACGTCTTTCGCTTTTCTTTCGTATGGTTTCAATGTATCTGTAACCCTCCCCTTGTTTAGAATAATTATTTTTATTATTGGATTCTTTATCTACATTTTTATTCCTTATGGAAGTTGGTGTAATTGGTGTTAAAAGATTGGCGTCATCAATATCATTATTATCATATATGTTATCATTTGACGTTTGTGATCTTTTTGAATCCACCTTAAAACGATCGTTATAAGGAGTTTTTGTGATAATATCATCTGATATAAAAGCTTCATCGAGCTCATTTAATTCTTCTTGTAATTTACTTTCTTGTTTACTGGCGAAAGGCCTACAACGTTTGTTAGTAACTTCTGTAGAAGGTAGTCCATCATCCTCAATATTCTCTTGCATGTTCACCATGTCCGCAGTCCGTTTCTTGTTTGATGATGGATCTTCTTCATCAAGAAGGAATTCATAATTTCCTTTTTCGAGGTTAATCGGAAGTTCAGGTGTTGTGCCTTCGAGTACTTCCAAGTTCTCATTTTCTCTGGAAGGAAGATTATCTTTTTCTTCCGCATTTACATTAGCCATATCTTGATCGGAGTTATTTGGTTGGCCAATGTGGTCTTCGTTCCACTCCTGATCACAATAAATGGGATTTGAATCAGGACAGTAATTTGTTTGCATTTTATCAAGATTTTTTGTAATCATTGATCCACATAAATTTGGAGAAAATAAGACATGCGAAGATCGATTATTATTCTGACGAAAGTCAGTATTATCTTCTTTATTATACGATAACCCAAGGGTTAATGCTCTATTGACGCCAATTACATGCTCATTAGTTACAACCTTCTCGTCGTTTTGAGAAGGTGAACTTTGATTTCGCATATTAGTCACGTCAGCAAGAGCACAACTCGGATTTTTCTTTGAATCATTACCAAAATGTAAACCTCTTTCACGAATAACCGTCGGAGATTTTTCAAATTGATCTTTTGACTTAGGCATTTTACTAGTCAATTCATTCACCTGATCAGTACGTTCAGGATTTTTCTGCACAAATTTTTGTTCGTCTAACCATTTTTTCACCCGTTTCCATTCAGCGGATCTTTTTTGATAATGTTCTTTAAGTTCTTGATACGCCTTATATTGCGCATCATACTTAGATTGGAGTTGAGCATATTTATCACGCCATTCATTGTCCAAATCCTCTAGGGCTTTTTTATGTCTTCTATATAACAAAGAAGATTAAATATGAATATGATAATAAAGATTTTAATGTACAACTTAGTAATACCTTTCTGTTTCCACGTCAGGTGACTGACGCAATGAAATATGTTGTCCATCTTTATCTTTAACGAATAATGCGTCATTCGAGGAGGATCCTCGAGTTGCTGGGACAAATTGATTACTTTTATACGAATAAGTATATGTAGAATGTCTAATCTGAAAAAAAAATCATTTTATGCATGTACATACTCTTCTTTGATGTCCTCGACGGTGCCAATTGCTTCCGTATTGTCAAGATCCATCGCATCAAAATGATCTATATCCCGTTTATAATTATGAATATATTGTTGTAACGTATCGATTCTCTGAAGAAGTGCATTATTCTGTTGTTGTGTAACTTGGTTGACTTTATTTTGCTCCCTAATAGCTTTATTAAGTATATTACAATAAAATTAAACGAGAATTTTTTTGTGTTTAATGCAAAATATAAAAAAAAGGCCGAAAAAAACTTTCAACTTACTTTCTAAAGCCTGACTTTGCCATTCAAGTATATTCTGCACCATCGAAGTAGGAACAAAACCTTCTCCAACTTTACTCGACATTGTTTGATTTTCTTGAGTATTATCGAGAGACGCGCTTTTGTGGTTAGAAGAATTTTGCATCCTGGGCACTTGAATAAAAATATATTTGTTTCTTTATTTGGACCACTTGTTAAACTTACTTTATTTTTATGGTCAAGTAAATATTTATTTTAGACTAAAATAATAATTCAATAGTAAGATAGTATCGAACCTACCTTCTTTTAGTCTATCAAGAAATAAAATGAGCGATTCTGTCCAGGAATACTTCCTGTTGAAAATGTGAACGACTTTCGACCGAAGCTGCGTCTTTTCATTTGAAAAAAAAAATAAGAAAATCCTGCTTTTTATTACCGTATTTAAAAAAAATTGTTTTAAATAGAAAGTATGTAAAAATCAAAACAACGCCTTGTCGCCACCGCGTTTCAGTCTTGTACTATTTTTAAACTCCTTAAACTCTTATTGGTGAAGTTTGTTATTGTGTATATTAAGATCACCGCATGTCCCCATGTCCGTCATAGTTTTGACAAAATAAGAAAACAAGATTTAATTCCAATTCCGACGTCTCCGTGATGGTCATACAAAAATAGCACATGTTACAAACATTTTACAAACACATGATACATATTAACAAAAACCTTTCGTGCACAGTATAATTTGTGCGCACTGCGCACATTTTTTCGACTATTTTTTTATATACTCAATTTTTTTTAAGGTCAGCCATTTTATACAAATTTATCTATAATATGGTACAATGACTTTAAAATCATAGTTCGGGCCAAATTATATATTAATTTTAAGATTATAGACCTTACATATGAATATCCTAATTTCATTCATTTTATTCCTCACCAACTTTTGGTGCAAGATAAAACCTAATATAGCCGGCATCATCCATCTTGTATTCCACCAGCAAAGGCATATTTTCTGAAAGACCAAGCATAACTTGATCGGATAAGGGAGTTCCTTTCGTAAAATTCATTAGATATTTAAGAGAAAATTGGAGCGAAACTGAGCTATTAAGCTCGATCGTAACCTGTTCTTCTGGCTAAATAAATGAAAGTAAATTATTAATTGATGTAACAAGACTTTTAAGATTTCATCAAACAAGAAAAATATTAACCTTGTCAACTGATGGATTTTGTTTCAATTTGACACTTCCAGTACCCATTTCACCCTCTGCAGAAAATACGATCGCGTCCTTTGCAACATCAATGCTCACTTTAAGAAATGAGCAATTAAGTCTTAATAACATGTTATGATCTAAATGTATGTACGTATATAAATTTCATACCTGATTCACTAATAACCATCAGATCACGACAGATTCTTTGAAATTCGACAGAAGACATAACAATAGTTGCTTCATAATCAGTTTCAGGAATACTAAGATGCTCTTGATCTATGTCCATCAACTTTAATTCATATTCGCTGACTCTTTCATTACCTAATACAAATATATAAAAGTTATATAAACCAACAAACGCTAAAGAAGTTCGATCAACAACTATCTCGTATAAAGATATATCTATTCATACTTGGACTTTCAAAGCATAAACTTAAACTATCAGCAGAATTATCGTCAGCCTTCAAAGTAATAATATCATCGTTTCCAGCACATTTTAATATCTTGCTTAAAGAATTCAAATTAACGCCCAAAGAGAAACCTCGGTCACATCGGTATGGGTGAAAGCCTTCTGAACGAAGCAAAAGAGATACCAACGCGACGTGCGAGTTATCCATAGCTTGAAGTGCAATACCCGTCTCATTACAATCAAAGTTTGCGTCTGTTACAAGTTCTTTAATGGCCTCAAGTAATTTTTTAAGAAGTGCTCCTTGGCTCAAACGCGCTTCAAACATTTTGATAATAGTTTTTAAAGCTTTGGTAATAGTTACGGTGTATGTAAAAAATTTTCAAGGTTTAAAGTATTTTGCAGAGGAGGGACGTGTCGCGAAGTTACAAACCAATACTTTGCCAAATCCTTTTAAAAAAACGAGAAAGTTGTACAGTTTCTGTTGTGTTAACCAAAATATTAATAATTTTAACGTGTATAAGTGTATTGCAACGACAAAACGCAAGCTTTTCTTCCTAATCGGTTTATAATTCACAATTATCATAGAATATAAAAAGGTAATTGGAATTGTGTAGCAATTGATTATAAAGCAAAATTGGTATGATGATCAGAATTTTACTGCGCCGGATACAATTTATGCGCTAGCACGTAATAATAAAATTTTATTCAATTATGATGTTTTAGCAGCATAGTAATTTGTCGATACACCACAGATTCGATAATTACAAAATTACTCAGCCAAAATCGTAATTAAAATAATGCGCACAATATGATAGAGAACGTCCATAAAGTAAACTTTGCACGAGCAATTAAAATAAAAGTCAATCATTCGTATTGAGCAAGTACCAACAAAGAGTTTAACAAATCAACAATGCAAAACAGATGGTACAATCATCCTTTGAAGAATTCAAGCTATGTAAAAATTAGCGAGAGGAGTTGGATAAAAAAACCAACATGTAAAATGAGCAAATTGTTGCTATTTTATTATTATTATCACATTTTAAGCTGTAATAATGCATGAAAGAAAAAGCCCAATTAGAACAAAAAACTATCAAAATTTTATTAAATGTAGAAAAAAACAAGATTATAAAAGTATTAAACCCTAAAACATTAGCTTTCCAGTTTAGTGGTAGCTTTATAATGAATCAATTAAGTGTTGATACTATAAATAAATGGTAAGTTATACAGGATTAAGATAGTATTAAGATACACTACATTTTAGTGAAGGGTAAAGGCAATTTTCCAATTGGCAAACTGGCTACCAATCTTGTTCAAATTCATAATTTTTTTCAATTACACTAAAGTATTTGAATTATTCACTTTAATTTAGTATTGATTTTGTAAATAGTTATAAGTAGTGATGAGTTTTGGACACAAATTTTAACTTTAAAGGTTTTGGACAAGAGAAAACTGTTCAAAATCCTGTCCAAAACTTGTCTAAAATTGTCCAAAATTGTCCAATTGCCCAACACTAGTTATAAGTCCAAAAGTCAAGTAAATAAATGGTTGTAAATCAGAATTGCCATCTTTTAACTAATCACAATAGTGTAGTATTTACAACCAATTTACAGCTTACAACTACTAAAGGTTGTAATTTAATATATAATAATCATTACTTATAGTTTGAGTTGCTAAAGTATTAAAATTGCTAATTAATTCATTTTGATATTAGTAAATCTTTGTAATTATTATTAATATAATTGTTAATAATGTGTTAATTAAAGTCAAAAACAAGTCTTATAGCAATAATTTCAAGTTTTAAAAAGTTTAAAATTATAAACTTTTTTTTTTAACAAATATTTCTACTTTTTATAGTTTTTTTACTATTAAGAAAGGGATAAAAAAAAAAAGAATTTATTAATAAATATGATTAAACTTTTGACAATAATAATAAAATTATTCATAAATTTTATTATTAAATACTAAGCTTTTAACTAATAAGAAAATAAATTCTTTTAGGCTATTTTTAAGCATTTTCAATTTTATCCTAATATAAATTTAAATAACAGATTTTTTTAGTAAATTAAAAAAGCAATTAAAAATTTCTTGCATTAAAAGTAAATAAAAAAAACTTATTAAAAATCTATTGAACTTATTTTTATTATATTAAAATAAAACAAATTGAAATAATGATTAAATATTGAAGATTATTGAAGAAAAAATGTAGTTTTTAGTTTATTTTTTATTTATTAAAATAAGAAATTCTTCAAATCTTTGCAAAACTTTCTGATATTTTTTTGGTTAAAGTTTATTAATTGAAATACTTGAAATTTTCAATTGAATGTAATTATTTTTAAAGAAAAATAAAAAATAGAAAATAAGAATTAAAATAGATAAAATCATATAGTATTATTTGTAAAAAAAAAAATATATAATAAATTATAAGTTTATACTTTTAAATTTAAAGAGTTTAGATTTAAAGAGTTTAATATAGATATAGTATCTTGATAATATATAATGTAGAATTAGTAAACTTTAAATATATTATAACTTAAGTAGAATTATTATATTTAATATTTTTACTATTATTACCATTTTCAATTTGGTTAAAACTGCAGCTTATCAATTAATTATAATAAAAAAACTAAAAATTCATAATTTTGTAAACCTGTACTAATAAAGCATTATGTTTTACATATAAATATATAAAATATTTTGATTAATGTATTATGCTAAGTTACTTCTATATTACTTTTATTATTTATTTTTATTTTGTAATGTTCTAATAAAAGATTACTACTCTAAATATAATGGAAGTATAATAGCAATTTTTTACTGAAAACTGTAACTTTACACTAAATATTATTATTTTTTTATTTAACTGAAGTATTTGACTGAAAATACTTATTAAATAATAATAAAGCATTTACCAGTATTTTAGATTGCAAAGTTTAACATTATTTTAAAAGGTAAACTAAATTTATTATTATATTAGTTATACTGTATAATATTAGCAAGTACCCTATAAAAAGTATTATACTTAAAATATATTTAAAATATACTTAATTTAAAATTGCAAAATACTTATAATATATTTTTAATATATCTAAAATATACTTAAAATTATCTTAAAATATATGTCTAATATATTTAATTTTTGTTCATATACTTAAAATATATTTAAATTATATTTAAATTAAAATTTAAGTATATTATAAGACTATTATAAGTATATTCCTCCACTCCAGTGAACATAAGTAAATTGGTTATATTTTTTATGTATTTAAAATATACTTAAAATATATTATGAAATTTATAAGTATATTTTAAGTATATAAAAAATATATCTATAATATACTTAAATTTTAATTTAAGTATAATTTAAGTATAATTTAAGTATTTAGGCAAAAATTAAATATATTAAAAAGGGTTTAAAATTTGAACGCATTTGCATTTGAACGCATTCCTCTTTTTGAAAATTTTTAAATAGTAAATTTGTCGATCATTTATGATCACGTTATGATTAGCAAATATACTATTTAATAATTTTCAAAAAGGGGGATGCGTTGCAACACACCTGCATAAAATTATTATTTCCTATTAAAAATATATTTTAAGATAATTTTAAATACATTTTAAGTATATTATACTAAGTATATTTTAAATGGCAATTTCTATTTGTACACAGAGTGTTTAAACACGGGTCATATTAGTAGATTAAAAACGGCATTCAAAACCTCATTTAATGCCTTAAGTAAACTTGCAGAGCAGGTGAAAATACATATATTTATCTGTAATATAATAAGAATAAAAAATAAAAGAGTATAATGTCGGTAGCATTCAATTTCAAATTAAAAAACAAAAAATTAGTCTATTAAAAATTATATTTATATGACCTGTGTACAAAGACCCTGTGTAAACTTAGAAATTTTCATTTTAAATATATTTTAAAAAGTTTTTAATTATATTTTAAATATAAATACTTTTTATAAGGGTAATAATTACTGATTTTTATTTTTATTTACTTTATTATAGGTCTTATTGGATAAACAAGTGTTTACGCTCTTAAATTTGAATAATTATAGTAATTTAAGAATATTTCGCTATCTATTAATCCAATCAAGACAATCTATAGCTCATTGGAATCAGCTCATCAAGATGAATTGAATGGTAAATCGTATCTTTACATTTGATAGATGACTTTCTATTAATTTAAAACTTTATTGCATACTATAGAGCGTTCTATCAGCTGTAAAAATGTGATTTTACTACCATTCGATTTGTCTTAATGGGCTGTCTTGATTAGATCAGTAGATAGTGAGATATTCTTAAATTACTATAATTATTTAAATTTAAGAGCGTAAACTTTTGTAATATTATGTTTTTAGTGTAATATTTCAAAATTTTACATCACCTCTGAAATATTAACTAAATTACATCTAAACAAATTTCCTGATGTAGAATTCTGAGAGATCTTGAAATTATCATCTTACTTCATCTTTTAATAGTGGTTCCTTTTTTGCTTTAAGTTAAAGATAAAATACCTCTTTTAATCACCAGTAAATTTATCTAAATTGAAAGTCTTACCAATGATTTTATTCAAGTCAGCCTATGATTCGTAATAAATAATCAATTTGTGGATGTCTTTATCTTTAATTAATTTAAATACTTTATATTTTAAAAATGTAAGAATAAAGTGAACAAAGTTATTTAGATAAAGGAATAGTATGATAATAAAAGTAAGAACTTCTATTATTAAGGGGCGTGCCAGAAATTACGTGATTTAGTGGGTGGGTGGGGGTCAGGTCCTGCAATCAGATGTCACAATATACCTTTTATGGTAATAGTATATCTTTTATAGTAAATAATATATAATTTGTTTATTAAGAAGCTTTTTTTGCAATTATCTCACCATCTAAAAGTCCAATTTTAATGAATTTTTTTTTTTTATAAAGTATAAAGAGAGCTATAAAATAAAAAAAAGTTTATGCAAATTGAATTATTGGATAGTAAAATAATTGTATTATAATATATATGTAATATATATATAGTAATTTATTTATTAAGAAGCTTTTTTGCAATTAACTTACTATATAGCAGTTCAATTTTGATGAATTTTTTTTTGTTTTGTAAAGCATAAAGAGGTCTACAAAAAAAAAAAAAAAGTTTATACAAATTGGATTATTGGATAGTGAAATAATTGTATTATAATATAAAATATC